CTTGGCAGGAGCACAGCCCCTGCCTCCCTCACATCACCCTGCTTGGCCCTGGAGGATGGGTGGTTAGTCAATGATGGGTATGATCCCTTGATGGCAGGGGCAACCTAAGACAGCCACAGTTGCATAGGGGCCATGAGAGAAGGACTTGGAGGACACAGAGAAGGGGCAAAAGACCCTTACTCCTTGGCTTTGTCATGGCTGGAGTCTTCATTCTCTCTGAAAGAAGTCTCCTCATCTCTTGGCTGCTCTGCCTGGCTGCCTGACTGGGTCAGTGAAACAGTACTAAAGGCAGGTACAGCCCTAAACTGGATCAGGTGGTTCCCAGGACAATCAGGTCTAGAAAACGAATGCATTAAATCCTTTGAAACTTACTTTGTTAAGAATGCCCTCGAATTAATGAGTACTGGCATTTGGGGTCCAGCATAGGGTGAGATAAATTTCCCAGGTTTCAGGGCCAAATGGGTGCCATCAAGTCTACCAGGCCCTGACCTGAGGCAAATCTCTGTGTTCCTTCAATTGTTACCTATGATCTCTATCTGTTTTCTGTAAACATAGCCTTTAGGCACCGATTGATAAACTTTGTGTGCATGCTGTATACCCCTGTGCATATCGTTCTCAATAAAGCCACTTCAAAAGAAGGGCTTGGGACATTCTCCACTAGAAGAAATCAAACCCCCCATACTGAGAAGTGTCTGGAATGACCTAGTTCCTTCATCTGTGGTGACCCAAGGGGACTTTGCGGGACGGGGTACCACCCTCATCTGGTGCCCCAACAGGGACCCCATACTTATTTGGAAAAATAATGAAAGAAAACTTCCCTAATTTGGCGAAGGAAATAGACATACAAGTCTAGGAAGCACACAGAAACCCAAAAAAGTTGAATCTAAAGAGGACCACATCAAGACACATCATAATTAACATGCCAAAGGTTAAAGATAAAGAGAGAATCTGAAAAGCAGCAAGAGAAAAGCAGAGAGTTACCTGCAAAGGAGTCCCTATAAGACTAAGGGTTGATTTTTCAAAAGAAACTTTGCAGGGAAGAAGGGACTGGCAAGAAGTATTCAAAGTGATGAAAAGCAAGGGCCTACATCCAAGATTACTCTATCCAGCAAAGATATCATTTATAATGGAAGGGCAGATAAAGTGCTTCCCAGACAAGGTAAAGCTAAAGGAGTTCATCATCACCAAGGCATTATTATATGAAATGTTAAACAAATTTATTTAAGAAAAAGATCAGAGCTATGAACATTAAAATGACAACAAACTCACAGCTATCAACAATTGAATCTACGAGACAAAAACAAACACAAACTAAGCAAACAACTAGAACAGGAACAGAATCATAGATATGGAGATCATTTGGAGGTTTATCAGCTGGGAGGGGGAATGAGGAAACTGGGAGAAAGGGTAAGGGATTAAGAAGCATAATTGGTAGGTAGAAAACATGGGGATGTTAAGAATAGTGTGGGAAATGGAGAAGCCGAAGAACTCATACGCACGATCCATGGACATGAACTAAGTGGGGGATTGCTCAGGGAAAGGGGATTATTGAGTGGAGGGAGGAAGGGAGGAAAAACTGGGACAACTGTAATAACATAATCAGTAAAATATCCTTAAAAAGTTAAGAACAGCCCTTGAGTGGTGTGGCTCAGTGGATTGAATGCTGGCCTGAGAACTGAAAGGTGGCCAGTTTGATTCCCAGTCAGGGCACATGCATGGGTTGCAGGCCAGGTCCCCAGGTGGGGGCAAGTGAGAGGCAACCAATTGCTGTATCTGTTGTACATTGATGTTTCTCCTCTCTTTCTCCCTCCCTTCCCTTCTCTCTCAAAAAAAAAAAAAACCTTTAAAAAAAATCAAGAACAGAATTTCATATGATCTAGCAACCCCTCTTATGGGTATCTACTGGAAAAATTTGAAAACATTTATTTGCAAAGACATTTGCACCCCTATGTTCATTGCAGCATTTTTTATGGTGGTCAAGACATGGCAACAACCAAAGTTTCCTTCAATAGATGACTGGATGAAGAAAATGTGGTACATATATACAACAGACTACTACTCAGCCATAAGAAAAGATAAAATACTGCCACTGGCAACAACATGGTGAACTTTGAGAATATCATGCTAAGTGAAGTAAGTCAGAAAAAGTTAAGAACCATAAGATTTCACTCATAGGTGGGTTATAAAACTGAAAGCAACATATAAACAAATAAGAAAAACAAACAAAACTCTTAGAGACAATAATGTGGTGGTTACCAGAGGTAAGGAGGGAGGGGGAGTAGTAAAGGGTAAAGGGCGTCAAATACTCATATAATGTGATGGATGATGATTTGACTTTGGTTTGTGGACACACAATGCAACGTGAAGATCATGTATCATAGAAATTCATATTCAAAACCTATATATAACCAATGTCACCCCAATAATTTTTATAAAAAAATGCAAAAAGGGAATAAAAAAAGGGAAAACAATGTACAATAGTGAACTCAATAAACTTGTTTCCTGGTATTCAAAATAAAATGGTCTCTTAATTTATGATATCACATACATTTTTATATTTAGTATTATTATTTATCAGTTTTAGGTATTTTAAAATTTCCATTATTATTTCTTCCTTGATGCATGAGTTATTTGGACTTAAGTTTTTTTTCTATAAGCATTTACAAGATATATTCTTGTTAACTCAATTTGTTTGCACTAAAGAGAATGTGTTCTGTAATAATGATTCTTTTAAATGTTTAGAGACTTGTTTTAAAGCCTTAGCACATAGTCAATTTTTTTTATGAACATTTCAAATGAGAAAAATGCGTATATTCTGGTTGTTAAGTAGAGGGTTCTGTACATGATCTATTGGTTACTTAAGTGTGTTTTTCTCTTGATGTTAGCCAAAAGGCTGAGAAGCGATAAAACATGTTTTTCAAATCTTCTATGTCTTTACTTTTTGTCTGCTTTATTGATCAGTTATGACATTAGTTATCTATTGCAATATTCATTCCACAAATTAGAAACTTAAAATACAAATGTTAGTTCTTTTCATACCATATGTAGATAAAAATTTATCTTCATAGCCGTTGGTTAGTGTGAAGCCCTGCTTTATTTGCACTGTTTTATCCTAAAAAGGCCTAAGAGCTAGACTTTTATTAGTTTTACTTAGCACACATAAGAGAGAAGTTCAGAAAGGTTTAGTATCTTGCTCAAGACCATACATTAAATAAGAAAACTCTAAAAATACAATTAAATGAATATATAAACATAGTTGACACAAATATGACTTTAAATGTACAAAAATGAAGAATTATCAGCCTAATTTCTGGAGCTAAATTTCCATCATTTCAAGTGAAGGTATAACTGATCTACACACTGTTGTAGTAAGCAATAAGAAACAGACCTTCTGTCTAAAGCACTGTGTGGTCTAAGAGAACTCTCTGTGCTGATGGAATGTTCTATATCTCTGTAGTCTAATGTGATAGCCACCAGCTGCATGGGCTGCTGAGTCTTCCAATGTGGCTAATGTAAGAAACTGAATTTTAAATTTTATTTAATTTTAATCATTTTAAATTTAAATAATCACTTGTGGTTAGTGGCCATGCTATTGGACAACAGCCTAAAGGCATAAGAATCGGAGGAACCAAAGAACTACAAATACTTAATAATCAGTTAATCACCTTTTCAAGGAACAGTAAATAAAAAGTGATTGCATAAGTGAAAAAGTGGTAACTTTTGAAAAAATCTCCAAATTATGTTTTATCCAACATTAATACTCTAAGATGTTAACAGATATTCCTTGAAAATCATCACTGTAACAAAAATGTTGCTAGCAATGTTTTTTCTAAAATGTAGTTTACCAGATACATGGAGAAAAATATAACAAAATCACATATAATTATTATTGTGTTCGATCATCCTTGCAAATATGATATTTTATACCCAAGAACACCAGATAAATCCCTAACTGGTCACCTTATGGACAGATGATTTTAGGTCTGCATTTTGTGAATATGCAACATTTAGCAGGTGATACCCATAAAGATATCTCTCTTAATATAAGTAGTCTTAACATTTTACACATGCATAACATTATTTAATAAATTGTGGCTATAAGACATTTATATAGCACAAACTCATTTCTCATGGTTCTGTGACTGGACGAATGAAATTTTATACAAAAATTTGTATATACACAAAAATAAGCTTTGTGGATTATAATTAGGTCTGGATCAAGGAAAAGGCTAGAATATTTCAAAGTGAAGATGAACAACTGTGGTCTTTGGTTTTTACAAAAACTGAGATGAGTTGCCTAAGGTAAAACAATTAATGTTCAATCCTGCTGACTTAACATCAGGATTTAAAAGCATTCCCCCTGCCCCCAAAAAAGGTTACCTGTTTCAGTATTTTGGATATTGTCCCACTGCCTTCTGGCATCCCAAGTTTCTAATGAGAAGTCAGCTATTATCTTCTTGCAGTTCTCTTGTTATATGATGAGTCCTTTCTCACTTGATGCTTTGAACATTTTTCTCTGTCTTTAGTTTTCAACACTTTGACTATGGTGTATCTGGGATTGGATCTCCTTAGGTTTATCCTTCTTGAAGTTCATTAAGCTTCTTGAATGTGTAAAGTGTTGCAGTCAAACTTGAGATATTTTCAGCCATTATTTCTTCAAGTGTTTTTCCTATACCTCCCTAGTCCTCTGCCTTCCCAGCACTCCCATTACACGTATGTTGATATACTCAATGGTGTCCCATATTTCTATGGGGCTGCTTCATTGTTTTCACTTTTAGCCCCTTAGAATATTTGACATTTGGGAGATATCCATAATTGTATGAAGACAATTTATTATAGTGTGTTCTAATTCTCTATAAAGATTGAGTCATTACAAGTTTTTCATAAGTACTTTTTAAATCTCTAAAATACCCTAGAGTCAAAATTTGAGATTAAGTTTTAACATCCTATGAAAATTACAGTACTCTTCTTTGTCAAACTTTATATTTGACAAAGATCTTAAAAATATGTAATGTTTCACAAATTTGCATGTCATTCTTGAGCTGAAACTATACTAATCTCCATATTTTTCCAATTTTAGTATAAGTGCTGCCAAACTAAGCACTCTTCTTTCTTTTTTCTCTCTCCTTCGGATTGCATTAGCTCAAGTACTCTAGATTTAAGCTCACTAATTCTTTCTTCTGCCAGCTCAAATCTACAGTTGAGCCTATCTAGTGAATTTTTCATTTAGGTTATTATACTTTCCAAGTGCAGAATTTCCATTTGGTTCTTTTTTATAGTTTGTACCTTTTTATTGATATTCTCCATTTGATTAGACACTGTCATTATAACACTCTTTAATCCTTTAGACATGGTTTCCTTTAGTTCTTTGAAGTATTTGTCACTATGGCTTTGAAATCTCTGGTAAGTCCCACATCTGGGCCTTTTCAAAAACAGTTTCTATTGTTGCTTTTCCCCCTGTGCATGGGTAATACTTTCCTGTTTATTTGCACATCTTGTAATTTTTGTTAACGACTGGATATTTTGGATAATATATTGCGGCAACTCTGGATATTGCTAATTCTTCCCTTCACCCCAGGTGTTGGTATTTTTCTTATTTGCATTGTAGCTTATTCACTTGTTTAGTGACTTGTGTGAATTACTTTTTCCCTGTTGGCTGCAGTTTCTGATGTTCCTGCTCAGATTTTCTTTTTTTGTTGTGTTTTTATCTTTTCACATGGCTACCTGCGGTTTGCCCCATGTCAGCATAAGCCACTTTCGGGTGATAGGATGTGTCTCAGCCACTTTAGCAGGTTAGAGTTTTATTCTTTACCACTCTCTTGAAGGTTGCCATCATAGTCAAGGAGTACAGGTTTTCTCCTCATTCCTCTCCTTCAGTCATGGCTTATATTTCTTCTCTTGTGGACAAGACAGACTCTCAGCGATGTGTTTTAATGATTTAATGATGATTTAATTTAAAGCCTGGTTTCCTAGGAGTTGCACATGGGTCAGAGCAGCTTAGTGTTCATCAAGGGTGGCCAAAAGTGGTGCTGCAATCCAAATCTTCCCTGTGGGCTGCTGTTTTCTCTTGAGCGGGTGCAGCCATGCACACTCTTCCCACCTCTGAAGTTTGACTGTGATTCCACAGGGCTCTTCTTGACTTGTTGATACAGCATTATGGAGCTACAAGCACTCTCTGAATTGCTCTCTACCAAAATCTTCATTATTTTCAACAATGCCCTTGGGAATGGAATTCTCCTGCTCTGTCTCAAAGTCAGCCCTTTCAAGCAGCACTACAGAGCTCTTCTTCCTTAAAACATGACTACCTCTGGGTTGAACCTCTGTGCCACTATGTAGAACTAGCGGTGGGGACAGTGCCCCTCCTCCTGAAGTGATACTTCAATGGGTGCTGCTACTGCTGGTGGTGGTGCTGGTTTTCTGGGCTGGCCTCTCTGGCATTGTGCCTCTACCCTATGGGTGGGCTGGATGGGATAACTGGGCCACATTCTTGGCCTGCCAGACTTAGGGGAGAGTTTCTACACATGGGCTAGGACATATGAGAAGCTGGTGGACAGACTTCCCAGAGGGCACCCTAAACTGGGAGCTAAGGTGAGAGGGGCAATCTTCTTGACTGCACTCTGTGGAGGAGCACCGCATAGTAGTCTCTATAAGACAAATCAGGGAGTAGTAGGTCATGGTTCAAGAGGCAGATACTCGTTCTTATTGAGATTTAGATTTTCTCGATTCCACTGATGGAATGTTTCTACATTTGCTGCATGCCCTTAGGACAGAGGCATTCAATGATTTTTTAAAATATTTTTCTCCAGGTAAAATGTTTGTTTTCTTAGGGAGAGAATCTACTGTGTCCTCGTTCTGCTGTTCCAGAAGTCAATCTTCTATCTGTTTCTTCAATTTCCTTCCATAAGAAATAAAGGTCTTCTGGATATTTAGTATGTGATGTGTAAGATACATGTTGTTTAGCCATTATTTATAAGTTTTGAGAGTATTTGGAAACGTTCCATTCTGAATTTGTAGACTTTAGTGTCAGTTGTCCTTTTTGCCTAAAAGATACCTTAATTTTCCTGAATACAATAAATGAAACAAGTGCAAAATTACTAAGTCGGACAACAGAAGTGCAATAGCTGTAGGGAGGCATAGAAAGCTGCAGAGCCATGAAATAATGTCGACAAGATTCTTAACAGTGGCAGTTATGAGTTTGTCATTGTGCATTAACACAGTGCCCTGGTGAAACTGTGATCCATCTATTTACGTGTTAATTACAGTAGAACTGCCACTTGCCTAGGTTCTCTGTGAGGTGATAGGTATGTGGTAATGAGCAATCCTGTCCTCTGTATCTCCTTAGGAAAAGATCAAACAGAGATAAATTAAAAATCACAAGCTGTAGTGATGCTAGGAAGGAAATCAGCAGAGTGCCTTGAGAAACAATACTGGGATGGGATGGTCTAGTCAGGGTGGTCAGGGAAGTTTTCTTAAAAAAGGTGATCTTCAAGTTGAGTCCTGAAGAAGGAGAAGCCAATCATGCAAAAAGTTGAGAGAATAGCATTTAAAACAGAGAAACCCAGTGACAGGAAAAAGCTTTTCAATGTTTGAGAAATTAAAAGAAGGCTAGTAAATAATAAGAAAAAAAAAAGAAGGATGGAAGGAGAAAAGAAGGGGAAGTGGTAGTAAGAGGAAAGACTAATTTGGGGGGATTTCAATGCATTATTCTTAATTTAAAATCAAAATTTTATTTCTGAAAAAATTAAAATTTTAACAAGCATTAGTAAAGAAGGGAGAAAAAGGTGATGGGGAGGGAAAGGACTGGGTGGGGAGAACAATAGAGAGGTATCATTTTGGTGGAGCAAGTTTCATGATTGCGTGTGGCTGGCACCTCTTGACATTCAGCTATGTTGGGGGTGAGGGCGGTGAGGGTAGGAAGGGCCATGAGGTGAGGGCCTCTATGTGAAGGCTGACCTGACCAGGGTCCCAGGGGTGGTAAATAACTAGCATGCACAGCAGCTAGCACAGTTACCTCCTGCCGTCAATAAATCAAGAGTGAGGTGACACTAAAAGGTTAGATGTGATTTTCCTTCAGAAACTTAACTCTTAGGACAAGGTAGAGGATGACTTGAACGGAGAACTTTCAGAGTATCTCCTTAGACCTAGTATGAGTTTATTGCCTTAATCAATGAGAAATGTTTGTTACAAAATGGTGAAGCTAAAAAATGGTGTTTTAGGCCAAATTAAGCTGGCAGTTTATTTTGGTTTACACAGTGTTAAAATATTTAAAAGTTAGTAACAAATATTAAAAATTGGGTGATTTTACATAAAATTCAAATTTCTCATTGTTTTATGAAACCTGTTTCTGGTAGCACTTGGTCAACACCTCATGGATGAAGTACCAGCTTGTTCATTCATTCCACAGGCTCGCGCCCCCACCCTCTGATCCCAGCCCTCCCACAATTGCCATCCTCTTGAATCTGTCAGTATATAAGCAGGCGCTAGAGAAACATTTCAAGGCAGAGTCAGAAGAATATGGTTGGTGAAGAATTTATGCTGGCCTAAGATTTCTAAGGAGGTAAATGGTAATGAAGAATAAAGAAGAACTTAAGGTTCAGGCAGCCCAGATGTGGACCTCATTTCAGAGAATACAGAAACTGTGGAATTCAAAGGCTGTCAAGTGATTTGAGCCAGGAAGCACGCAGAGACACAGATGATTAACATACAACATGGCAATCCAAACTGGTTAGTGGAGGAGAGAACTCAAAGCAGGTGGCAGAAACAACATAGGTGTGGAGTTGGGGAGGTCTATCCAGGAAAAGTCCAGCCATTGTTAATACAACAAGAATGACTTGGGTAATATCGATGTATCCTGGCAGCTGAGGAGAATGGACTGAAATGTGCATTGTTTGAACAATGATGACTTCACTGTACTAGTCAGTGGGGGTGGTAGGCGCTACTGAGTGAGCACGCGTACTGTGTGGCCATCACATTTAAAGTGACTGAGCGAGTGGAGCAACAAATCTGCATCCAATTCTGCATTAAGCTTGAACATTCCTCCATGGAAACTATTTGGATGATTCAGAAGGCTGCAACTATGGTCAGCAGGTTATTGGTAGCTTCATCAAGACAATGCACCCACTCATGCATCACGTCTCCTACAGAGTTTTTGTGAAACATAAATTCAGTCACCCCTACAGCCCAGAATTGGTGCCCTGTGACTTCTGGCTTTCCCCAAAACTAAAAACACCTTTGGAATGGGAGAGATTTCAGACCGTTGATGAGATTCAGGAAAATAGGATGGGGCAGCTGATGATGACTGGGAGAACTGTGTGATGTCCCAAGGCGCTTACTTTGAAGGGGAGTGAGGCATCATTGTCCTATGTACCATGTTTCTTGTATCTCGTATTTTCTTCAATAAATGTCTCTATTTTTCATATTAAGAGTCTGGATATCCTCTTGACAGACCTCGTATATCTATATAGGAGGTTGTGGTTCAGGACCTGAGGTCTGTGACCAGACAATGTAATGGCATGTGGCCATGTTCAGCAGGATAAACAGTTGAAACAAGCATTATCCTTAAAAAGCTCTGAAATACTGTAAACTTAGCTGCTAGCCAAACCATGTAGAGGTTAGAATTGGCATTTTGAGGTTATTTGATGAGTGGTGTTCATAAAATTGAGATCACACTTTGGGGAGCAGGTTTAGTACATCCCTTTGCCCCCCTGCCACAGAATACCCATTGGACAAGGTGAAGTGTACATTCAGTTAATATCAAACTCCCTGCTGCCAGTGATGGGGCAGGTAGGGTTTAGGCTGGAGACCTTCCACACTCCATGCAGCACTGAGCACTGTGTTGGTGGTACCCTATGCCTCCCGTGAAAGGGACTCTGACATTTTTAGAAGTGATTAATTTAGATATATACTACAAGAGCAATGAGGAATGTGTTACAGAGAGGAAGTACAATGTTTGTGGTTAGAATAGGAACTTCAGAACTGCATTCATTCCATGACACAGTTTGCCATTCAAAATTCTTGGAATAACAGTTTTGCAAGTGAATGTCACTTATTTAAGATCAATATTGCATCCATGCCTAAAACATACACCCTCATCTAAATAAAATT